GTGGGTGTGGTGTGTGTGTGTGTGGGTGTGTGTGTGTGTGTGCGAGTGGGAGTTTGGAGGAGGAGGTGGAGGAGGGCAGCGCAAGCCGGGCCCGGAGCCGGATGCAGACCCAGGACTCCGGGCAAGCTCTGCGTGCTCCGCTCTGAGGACTTCCTGCATTTGGATCATCCGGTTTATTTATGTGCAATTTGCTCCCTTCTCTTTGCCCCCCTTCGAGGCATCCGCTCCCCACCTCCCCCTCCAAAAAAAAAGTGCATATTTGAAGAAAAGCATTCCATATTTTAATATGAAGAGGACACTCCCGCGTGGTAAGGGATCTTGTCGTCTCAGAGTCTCTGTTTGTGAATGTTTCCTCCTGGCTGTGTAGACACCAGCGTTTCCCCCTCCCCACCTGCCCTACCCCTTCCAGTTAAAGACAGCGGACAATAGTGTGTATGTGAAGTGTATCTTTAATACTTGGCCTTTGGATATAAATATTCCTGGGGATTATAAAGTTTTATTTCAAAGCAGAAAACGGGGCCGCTCACATTTCCGCTGGGGTCGAGGTCTAGTGCTGCCTCTCATCTGTGCTGGTTCCCTATTTGAAGATATTTCCAACAGCTACTTGTTTTGTGCACTTCCGTCCTCTAAAACTAAGTGGAATTTAATTAATATTGAAGGTGTAAACGTTGTAAGTATTCAATAAACCACTGTGTGTTCTTTTTTTTAAAAAACCCCAATCTTTTAATGGTTGATACCTCAAAAGAGTTTTGAAAACAAAACTGTTATACTTGTTTTCATTATATTTAAAATATTCAGAAGTAAACTAAATTATCATGATTGCCTCTAACTTTATTTGAAAGAGTCAGTGGTTCCCACCAGTCATGGCCACGAGCTCCCAGCCTCATGCAGGGCGTGGAGGCTCCTCGAAGAGACGTGTTCTTGGTGAAAATCCTGCCAAAAGGCCTGGCTTCCATGAGGTCCTGCCACCTTCTCTGTGTCCCTGACCCCAGGAGAGCCCTGAGTGGGCTGGGAAAGGAGGGTCTGGGCCAGAGAAAGGCCTGGGCAGCTCTCTCCCAAGGTGGAAAGATGTCCTTGTCTTCCTGAAATCAACCAGATACCACTTGATGGGGCCTTGGTTTTTGCTCAAGAGGCCGTTTTTTTGGTGGAGGAGGTTCGGGGAGAAACCCAGGCCTCATTTCAGTCGCTGGAGCCAGCTTAGAGTTTTTCATTCAAAAGATAAAGCTTTCATCCAAGCAAACGGGAAAAAAGAAAGGAAAAGAGGTGGGTTTTGCTGGTCTTCTTGATGGGGGTGAGTTGATGGTGGTGGTACTCTTCTGAGCAGGCCGGGGGAGGGGGAGGGCCTTCGAAAAAAGTCCGTGATTAGGTAACAAGGAATTCTACTGTCAAGTAAGAAATCGCGAACTCGATCGAGGATTTAAAGGGGGGTGAAATAGCGGCTAGATTTACAAGGAGCTATAGGGAACTCAATATTAACTGTGCGGAGTCTGAAGTCTTCCCGGCCGCAGGCTAGCCGGGCCCTGCCCCCGCTGCCAGCCGCCCGGCCTCCCCGCGTCGGGAGTTCAGGCTCTGGGAGTCCCAGGACATGCTGGAAGAAGTTCCCGAGGCCTCCTTTGCCCGTGGGCTTGACTAGAGCAAATTCCCAGCTCTAGGAACCGGAGAGACTCGAGTGCCATAAAGGACACTGCAGGCCGGGGAGGGGGAGCGGAGGGAGGGGTTGGGGCTCCAGGAGGGGGGAGGGAGAGAAGAAAGGTGAAACGTATTAAAAAGCGGTTTGTTTCATGAAACGCCTCGTGCGCAAAGCTGGTGTTAGGGAGGTTTGCCAGAGGGTTTCCACCTTGGAACCCATCCTGGGGTAATGTTCGCACCTCGGCCTCGGGCATAGCCTCTGCCCCGCCATCTCAGGGGTCCCACGCTGGCCGGTGCCCACTCGGAGCCCCGCCGCCGGCAGCCAGGGAATTCGCCCGTGCCGGGCGGGAGCCGGGAGAGTGGCGCTGCGGGGTTCTCCTGCGGGCGGCTGACAACGCGAGGGCGCGGGGTTAGAACAACTCGGCCAAAGCGATCTGAACTTTCTCCCCTCGGGTCAGCTGGCGCTGGGCCGCCGTGGTGGGCGCGGGGCTGTGTTTACAGACACTTGCCTTTGTTTATAGCGCTTGGGGGGGCAGGGGGCGGAGGGAGGCGCGCCCTGATTTTCTGTCGCTCTCGGGATCCCTGTCCGTTTGACCGAGCGGCTCCCTCCCTCTCCTGCCTCCAGCCGCCTTGGGCGTCTTTACTTTAATCCGTTCAAGAGAAAGGAGCCAGTTTGTAGGGGTGGAGGGAAAGAGAGCCCCGAAGTGGTGGAGTGAACGGTGCTGGAGGCAGTGAGGTTTCCAAAACAGGAACCAGAGAGGAGTTATCCTCACCGTGCATCAGTGCCTGTGCTGGCCTCGGGTGGCTGGTCTTCCTCGCCATCTGGGCCTCACCACATTTCTGCTGGTTTAACACTTTTTCTGGTTTGTTAAACACCAGCAGAAGGGAACCAGAAGACCCTGGCAGCACCATCACCATGAGGCCGCTTGCTGCTACACATGTTTAAAACCCGCGCTCCAGAAATGTGTCCTCTTTGTCTGAGCCAGGCGCTGCCCGCCAGCTCTCCTGCCCGCCCGCCGTGCTGCTTCCTCCGGCTCCTCAGCACCAGGGCCCCCGACACCTCGACCACCTGGATGTTCCAACCCGCCGTCATCCCCAACCGGCCAGACATTCAGCAGACACACACCCCAGGGGGCCGAACCCCCAAAGAGAATAGACACCCAAGTGGCCGGACACTTCAAGCTGCAAGACACCCGAGAATGTCCACCACCTCCGCCAGCCCCACATCCCGAAGGTCCCAAGGCTCTCAGCCACCCAACATCCCGGCCCACACGGTCAAGTCCTAGGGTACTGAGTGGTGTGCTAGGCAGACATTTCTTCTGCACTTCTGTGCTTTTCTCTTCCACACATTTCTTTCTCTTTTAACTCCCTTTCTTCTTTGCTTAAAAAAAAAAAAAGAGAGCTTCCAAGCTCCTGCCTGGTGGGACTGGCTAAAAGGCCTCTGTTTTAATTGCTCGGATAATGTGGTTGCTGCCATTTTGTTAAAAGCAATCACTCCTGCAGGGAAATCACAAGCTCTCTAGACAGGCCGGAGCCGACAAAAATGCAGGATTTGACGTTAAAAGCTAAATGGGAAGCTGGGGCGGCGGAAGGTAAATTGATGGTAGATCTGGTTGTCAGGGCCCGGCCCCAGACCGCCGCGCAGGGCGAGCGCCTGATAACCCTGGAGCACCGGCGGGGCGAGGGCCGGCTGGCCGATGTGTGTGTGTGTGTGTGTGTGTGTGTGTGTGTGTGTGTGTGTGTG